TAAGTAAAGGTTTATTTTGTTGCTTTACATCATCTTCATCAGTCTAGGGCACAAGGTCTGAAAGGGGAACTACTTTTTTTTTTTACATCTGCTATACACAAATGTGTAAAACTAACATACTTTCATGGACGGCAACTTGTAAACTTATAAGTGGCGCATCTGAATCAGAAGTGAATAAATTTGGCGCATGGAACCAATAGGTTGGCCACCCCTGCCGTAGGCGAAATAGATTTGTTGACCCCAAATAAAATAAGAAAAAAAATAATTTAAAAAAAACGCGAAAAAATAAAATGACGCAATTTACTAAAAACCTAGTTGTCTCTCTCTCTCTCTCTCTCTCTCTCTCTATATATATATATATATATATATATATATATATATATATATATATATATATCTAAGTCGACAAATAACTGAAATTCACATATTGCTATTTCCGTAGTAGAGACAGAGTTAGACTTGTAAACATCGAGTCATAGTGCTCTACTATGTTTGAGATCTGATCCAAGTTTCGCAATTGTTTTTCTAATTTTTTAAAGTCCTGTGCGAGGCTCCCACCTATTGGAGGCTATAGTCGGCTGGCTAGTTTGCCTTATGCCTAAGACCGGCCCTGGTTGCTGTTGTAACTCAACATACAGATAATTATATTTTTGGTTTTCCTGTTACTGTACTCAGCTACTTACTCCCCACGTTAAAGAGAGAGAGAGAGAGAGAGAGAGAGAGAGATGTAATCAATTTAAACACGCTATTGCTCTAATAAACCTAACACTCCAACACATACATTAGTTTTATTCCTTATTAGTGACAGTCGTCGCCTTGCCCGTGATTGTTATTATTGTTTTCCCTTCCACTTGGTAGTCTGCACAACAATGCGGTTCAATGTCTGTGTCACTGCTGAGTGTCAGGGATAAAGATGGATCGATAGTCTCTAAAGTTCAACAAAAACACGTCAGCTCATCAAAAAGTAAAAATAGCGAGGAAGCAAAAACATACGAAACAAAAACACCTACACTAGAAGAGAGACTTATTGAGATCTATTATGACGAATGGTTAAAACAAATAAAGAGAGAGAAAAAAGCTCAAATTGTAGCACCATAGTATTTATGTACATTTGCATACTAGCGCAACAGTGCAACACCGCTCGTGTCACTAGCGGATCCAAAACTTTCGCGTGGGAGAAGGCCGATTATTGTTCCAAACCCGTTACTTTCGCGCCCCGGCTGGCATTCTGAACTGAACAAATGCATTTTCCTGGCAAGTTAGAAAAAAAGGGAGGTAAAATTAAGTCAAAGAAAGGTTTTGGGGGATTACACACGTCCTATTATTAAGTGTGAGAGCGGGGCAGGCCTTAGATTATTGGCCTTAGGCGAAATGAATTTGGTGGCCCCAAATGAAAAACAAAATTAGAAAATATAAGAAAATTACGAAATATTTTAAAAACCTAGTGCACTTAAAACAATAACATGGAGGACAAGTTTCGCTCTTTCTATTATATTATGAATTATCATGTATTAACAACACTGATGTCCAAGTTACATCTCCATTTTATTGACTTGACAAGAAAGTGAAAAACTAACAGGAGACTTTAATACATACTAATAACATACTTGAGAAAAAAAACGTGAACATACTGAACAGTAGAACAAGGGAGACCACAAAAAAACAAACACACACACACAACATACAATAACATAATACACATATAAATGTAACAACTCCTTCTCCAAAGAATTGTTTTAGAGTCATGTGCGAGGCCGCCACTAATCGGTGGCCCTAGGCGGCTGCCTTGTTTGCCTATGCCTAAAGACAACCCTGGTGAGAAACTATCGTGGTCAAAGTACATCTTTGGGTTGTCCTTGGGAATTGAAGAAGCCTGTAGCCCTTATCTCGTTAGGACGGCAGAAGATGACGTCGGGCAAGGTCTCAACCTAAGGTCATGGATACGACAGTTCAGAGAGCATAATACATGACAATGGCAGTGATATACTAATTGAATGACTTCTTACAATAATGTACACATCGATATTGTAGCAGACTAATCGAGGCCTCTTAATTGAATGATTTCAATAGTTTTACACTTCGGTAACATGTTATTTCTGGGCCTACTTGTTCAATATTAAATATTGATTTGTAATTACTATACAAATACAAACGATTTTTTCTCGTTGAGAAGAAAAATAAGATCCACTATAAGTGATCTTGCAATTTTAAAGGCCGGTGAGAGAAAGAGCTCTTGTTCACTTTTGCTGGCCTAGAGTTCCAAGAGCCGAAGGCTCAACTCTACCTGACAGTTTAAGAAAAAGAAGAAGATCTGAAATATATCTATATATAATATGGGATAGTAAAATGCCGGGGGAGCCTGGAGGTTGATTTTCTGGTTAAATATTTAATACTGAAACATTATGTCATCAGATATAATTCAACTAGGCTACACAGAAACATCACATCAGAACTAGGATACACAGAAACATCACATCAGAACTAGGCTACACAGAAACATCATGTCAGAACTAGGCTACACAGAAACATCATGTCAGAACTAGGCTACACAGAAACATCACATCAGAACTAGGCTACACAGAAACATCACATCAGAACTAGGCTACACAGAAACATCACATCAGAACTAGGCTACACAGAAACATCACATCAGAACTAGGCTACACAGAAACATCACATCAGAACTAGGCTACACAGAAACATCATGTCAGAACTAGGCTACACAGAAACATCACATCAGAACTAGGCTACACAGAAACATCACATCAGAACTAGGCTACACAGAAACATCACGTCAGAACTAGGCTACACAGACACATCACGTCAGAACTAGGCTACACAGAAACATCACGTCAGAACTAGGCTACACAGAAACATCACGTCAGAACTAGGCTACACAGAAACATCACGTCAGAACTAGGCTACACAGAAACATCTCGTCAGAACTAGGCTACACAGAAACATCACATCAGAACTAGGCTACACAGAAACATCTCATCAGAACTAGGCTACACAGAAACATCACGTCAGAACTAGGCTACACAGAAACATCACGTCAGAACTAGGCTTAACAGAAACATCACGTCAGAACTAGGCTACACCGAAACATCACGTCAGAACTAGGCTACACAGAAACATCACGTCAGAACTAGGCTACACAGAAACATGACATCAGAACTAGGCTACACAGAAACATGACATCAGAACTAGACTACACAGAAACATGTCATCAGAACTAAGCTACACAGAAACATCACGTCAGAACTAGGCTACACAGAAACATGACATCAGAACTAGGCTACACAGAAACATCACGTCAGAACTAGGCTACACAGAAACATGACATCAGAACTAGGCTACACAGAAACATCACGTCAGAACTAGGCTAAACAGAAACATCACGTCAGAACTAGGCAAAACAGAAACATCACGTCAGAACTAGGCTACACAGAAACATGACATCAGAACTAGGCTACACAGAAACATCACGTCAGAACTAGGCTAAACAGAAACATCACGTCAGAACTAGGCTAAACAGAAACATCACGTCAGAACTAGGCTAAACAGAAACATCACGTCAGAACTAGGCTACACAGAAACATCACGTCAGAACTAGGCTACACAGAAACATCACGTCAGAACTAGGCTACACAGAAACATCACGTCAGAACTAGGCTACACAGAAACATGACATCAGAACTAGGCTACACAGAAACATCACATCAGAACTAGGCTACACAGAAACATCACGTCAGAACTAGGCTACACAGAAACATCACGTCAGAACTAGGCTACACAGAAACATCCCGTCAGAACTAGGCTACACAGAAACATCACGTCAGAACTAGGCTACACAGAAACATCACTTCAGAACTAGGCTACACAGAAACATCACGTCCGAACTAGGCTACACAGAAACATCACGTCCGAACTAGGCTACACAGAAACATCACGTCAGAACTAGGCTACACAGAAACATCACGTCCGAACTAGGCTACACAGAAACATCACGTCAGAACTAGGCTACACAGAAACATCACGTCAGAACTAGGCTACACAGAAACATCACGTCAAAACTAGGCTACACAGAAACATCACGTCAGAACTAGGCTACACAGAAACATCTCGTCAGAAATAGGCTACACAGAAACATCACGTCAGAACTAGGCTACACAGAAACATCACGTCAGAACTAGGCTACACAGAAACATCTCGTCAGAACTAGGCTACACAGAAACATCTCGTCAGAACTAGGCTACACAGAAACATCACGTCAGAACTAGGCTACACAGAAACATCACGTCAGAACTAGGCTACACAGAAACATCACGTCAGAACTAGGCTACACAGAAACATCACGTCAAAACTAGGCTACACAGAAACATCACGTCAGAACTAGGCTACACAGAAACATCACGTCAGAACTAGGCTACACAGAAACATCACGTCAGAACTAGGCTACACAGAAACATCACGTCAGAACTAGGCTACACAGAAACATCACGCCAGAACTAGGCTACACAGAAACATCACGTCAGAACTAGGCTACACAGAAACATCACGTCAGAACTAGGCTACACAGAAACATCACGTGTCAAAGATTTAATTCTTTTCTTTTACGACTGAAGATAAACCAACTAAAAAAAAAAAACTCCCAACAAATGAAACGCTCAGAGCGACACATGGATTTCATTTCAAAAGATTCACATGCAACGACAAACTTACATAAGAACTTCTATTCTTAAGTGCGTAGGACATAATCATCTTCTTTTTTGAAGTAACTTCTGTATCCTATAAGATGAGATAAGCAGAGTAGTGAAATGTAGTGAGAGTAGTGAACTGTAGTGATTAGCAGATCTCTTTTGGTATAGTTGTTACATGTAGAAATTTAATTATATATATTTTTTGCACCAATATTTGAATGAAATGAATTTTTTAGTGAATTATTTGAAATAATGTTAAAATAATAATGTTGTAATAATAACAAAGTGGAAAACAAATTATTACTTGGCCATGTTTATTAATACTCCAATGGTTGTCACTTCAAACAAAACCTTCATTATTAATAAACAAAATGATGATACTATATAGGCTACTGGACTGCAATGTATTTGATAGACATCAACACACAGATCTTTTATTACAGATCTAGAGCATTTTTATCATCACAAATAATTGTGTTGTTGATATACATTTTAATAAGACCAATTATTAGGAACAGTAATTCTTTGGAAGATTCAACACTGCCATCCATATGGAGAGTTTTTAATCATTTCTTTTAGTGTAAACAATCAAAGTAATCTTTTTTCAAAGTCAGATATCTTGCATTCTTTGCTAACAAGAAAACTTCAACTCTTAGTCAAGACAATGAATGAAATTGTGAATGAAATACTTGTATTATGTTATCACAACTAATTTAACCAAATGAATTGACTTCTATAGAAGAATAATACTATATCTATTAAACATTTCAAGATTTTAAAAATTCTTTTATCTCATGTAGGCTAACATTAATTTACAAAAAAAATTTTTCATCTATGTAGGTGTGTAGTGTGTGAACTTGCAACTGACTTTTTTTTTTTCTTTTTTTTTTTTTTACAAAACTTAAATCAACTCTGTCTGGGTGGAGTCTTGTACACATAGTTTCTCCCAGTTCCCATTATCAGATCAAGTAGAAACTGTGTATAATTATTCACTGTCAATGACAGCATCATGAATCAATAAAAAGTTAACCAATTAGTTAATAAGTTCTAATTTATTAACTTTGTTTTACATAGAAATGTATTAAGCTATGGGTTGATAGGCCTTGTGTAGAAAATTAGGCCATGCACTAAAAATTTTAACCTATTAACTTTTTTAGACTATAAAACTTTCTATTTTTATAAGTACTTGTTATATGCTTAGTGTACAAATGGCTAATCAAAGACTTTAAAAGTTCTACATATGTGTATTAAAAGACAGTTTAATGCAATACATTTGGCAAATACCAGGATTGAAGAAAATAATATCTTCTGTTTTAAAACTGAGTTGAAATTCATTGTCTCAAACATGTTTCTATAAGAAACACAATACAGCAGTGCTTTTCAAACTTGATTCTACTGGCGAAGTTCATAATCACTAATAGGCATTACACACATTTGCATTACATGGTCATTACATTAATCAAACATACACAAACATAAAAGTCTCTTATGTACACACAATGTATAAACATCTGTGTCATTCATGTACAAAGATACTATTGCATTGCATTTTTGTATGAAACCATGAAACAATGTAAAACACTCCTTGAAACAATTGAAACAAATAGTGTGTAGACATTTCACCCTTATTTTTTTTTTTTAAATATCAACATCACATGGACAAGAAATATATACTATGGTATTTTTACATCTAAAAATTCTTAGCCAAAAAAAAATCAATTCAGTTAAATAGAATAAATTCTTAGCTATATCTTAGCTATATCAATTGAACAAATAAATACATTACATCGCTTTGTAAAATACAGAAATGCATTTTTTATACATTAAAAACAAAAAATTTATGTTTAAACTTTAGTGAACACTAAATGAATAAGAAGCATTGTACAACTAACTCTTTTTATTTTGGTGCATTGTTTGGTTTTGGGTCCCTAGAGAAGAAAGACAAAGAAGACTGGGTTAGTCTAGTGAATAGTGACTGGGATTGTTTTGTAGACTTGTCCTTGAGTTTACAACATGGTTCATCTTTCAAGTGACTGTCAGGGGGAAGTAAATCTGGAGTAGCATGAACATTGACCTGAGTTACCTCGCCAGCTGTGTGATTTGGGGATTTACTTAAGTTGGTTTTTTGGGATCCTTCACTTTGAACACTATAAGAGCTCTGTGAGGATGGGGAGTTTCTTTTGGGATCTCCAAAAAAAGAGTTCCTGAAAGAAAGGTCATTTTTGAGAGTCTTACTGGATTTGTGGCTAACCAAATGGTTTGGGGAGGTCCTTGGGAGGTCAGCATGCACTGACCAATACTTTGTTCCATGTTTGATAGTGCTACCATGATGTAAGGTGCTGTCAACATGAGGATGTGAGATGGGCCTGTTCATCTGATAAGGCTGGGGAGGTATGTTGTGATTGAAACCACTTCTGAACATTTCAGCAGTGCTGGGTCTAGCTTGTCGACTCTTATGATCAGATCTCATCACCACCCCTTCCAAGTGATACCTGTGCTCCTGTTTACCTGAGCAGGCTTGAGGCTCATGTGTAGCAAGGGAGTGGTCAATCAAAGTAGTCAAGCCATCATTGCTACCTATGTTGACCATGACCTTATTTTTACTTCGTTTCTCTGGTTTTATTCTTGCTGAAGGCTCCAGGTTTTTGCATGGGTACTGACTACTGAATAAGGCTGAATCTAAAAGAGGATTTTCATTACAGATGGCAAACTGATTCAAAGAGGGATTTGTTGCAAGCTCACAGGGTGAACTGGTTCTTAAAATAAATTGTTTAGTATTAACAGGCATTGGATTGTCTTGGTGGGATTGGTTTGAGTACATTTTTGGAAAGGCAGATGTAAACCTTGCCTTGTAATCATTTTTGCCGCTCTCCACATCATTGAGTTCATCTTTAGAAACCTGAGCTTCTTTTCTATTGCCATGGCTGAGAGAAGCAGAACCTTTTGATGCCACAAGTGCTGCCTCATTGTTTACATTAGGTGATGTTAAATTGCCAGAAAACTGAACTACTGACTGCTCAGTTAGATTATCATTTCTGGCAGCCATATTTTGTTTGCTGGTCCAGTTTTGCTGTTCAGGAATGTCTTCTTGCTCGACAGCACCTGCTGGCAGAGTTTCCTCTTTAACTTCCCTGACACTGAGTGTTAATAGATGTGACCTCCTGGGCTTGTAGCTGTTGCTTTCTTCACATGCACTTGTTGCAACTAGCTGAGAGGATGTGGAATCCTGTTTCACTAATGTCTCTTCAGACTCAGACTCTTTCAGAGCATCTTCTGCAGGGGTGCCTTCGTCACTCTTATTATGACCATTGGATACAGAGCTGGCTTGTGCTCTGGACATATAGGATGGCCAAAAGTTAAACAAAGTATTTCTTTGCCCATCTCGATAACCTACAACTGGTAAAATGATAGGCATTACTGGTATTCCAGTGGAGTGTTTCTGACCATCAATGTCACAGGTGACACTGTCCTTTAAGTCCTGGGATTTTCTATCTGACTCAATTTCGGAAAGATTACTTTGATGCAGGAAGCTAGATGATAGAAGGGGATGTGGAGAGGAAGACTCCTCTAAAGAGCAACACTGCCTAGAGATGGGTCTTATGTTAGACCAACAAGAAGTGTCTGCTGCATTGCAGGAACTCAAAAGTACATTTTCTCTCAAGGGTATAGCATCACTATATGCTGGCAAAACTTTCTGTCTGTAAGATTGCAAGACATTTTCTGACCTTTCATGTTTCAGATTTTTGTCAGGAAAATCTTTTCTGTAGGCCAGGGCATGCCCTTCACTGTTAGAGTTGGTAAAATGCAACTGGCTTTTGTGCTGCTTGTATCTTTTCCTGAAAACATCATTCGCTGGTCGTGTTTTAAGGTAGTGGCGATAGATTTCTTTTTTCGAACATGAATGTAAAGAATTGTCAGAATTCTTATATTTTGTTGGTGGAGTCTGACTAGGAGAGCCATCTCCATTAACTGCAGTCTCTTCATCATAGTACAAAGTATAATGATGGTCAAAGTCTTTGCCTTTCAATACATAGTGCTTGGACATGTCAAGTGTTTCCACATCCTCTGACTTATCCACAGCTTGCTGTTTTGTTTTATCTTTCCTTTTAGACTTGACTTTTTTCTGATGAAATGATTCTCCGTTTCTGTTAGATGAGATTTCTTGTGAAATTTGAGTTTTAGAAATGTGTTGGTCTATATTTGATAAGGGAGCAGTTACAGCAGAAGAAACAGAAATTTTAGATGTTTTCAGAGTTGGATCTTCAGCTACTTGATTAGAGCCATAGTAGTTACTTTTGGAATTTGAATCACTCTTGGGACTTTTGGAGTTTGAATCACTTTTGGAGTTTGAATCACTCTTGGATGGGAGGAACAATTTGAAGAATGATTTTGTTATTTTATTTTCAGAACTCTTAGAGGTATTATTGCCAGACACCAGATCTAATGTGTCATTTCTTGAAGTATTTCCAGAAATATTGTCATTTTTGTCACTTTTTGTGGAATTTATGCTAGCAATGTGATCACCTGAATTGCTTTTCTGTGATTTATTGTTAGCCACCTGGTCATGTTTGTCAATTCTAATGAAATTATTGCTAGAGATGAGGTCATGTCTTGTATTTAGAATTCCTTCACTTCCTGTCTCCCCTTTGCCTTGATGCTGTGAGTGGCTTGAGATGAGAGATTTGCTGACAAAAGAAGTGCTTTGACTGGGGGACAATTTAAAACATTTTTCAGAGTCAAGGATTTGACGTTCTAAATCTTGACATGCTTTGAGTTGAGAACTGAGACTTTGTTCATAACTTTGAATGGCATTAGAACATGGTTTTAAACATTCAGCACAGCTCAGGTCCTCAGATGCAGTGTGAGGCACATCTATATTCATTTTAGCATCCACTCCATTATGTTCTCTGTTGGAGTCAGTTTGAGGACTATCTTTGTTTTGCCAATAGGAGCCACACACTTTACACTTCTCTATCACATGCTTTTCAGAAATGTTGCTACCATTTGACAAGACAATGCCACTGCCTGAGGTACATTTTTTTTGTTCATTGTCACCAATTTGACATTTGTGGCAAAGGAAAATGCTAGTTTTGATGGCTTGTTTTTCAACCTTCTTGGAATCAAGCTCTGAAGAAGTGTGCTGTTGGTCTTTTTCGAATTTTCTGATCAGCAAGGTATCAGATTCCCCAGTTTGAGACTTACTGTCTCTCATCTTGCCCTTGACTCTCCCAGATATCTCTTTAACCTGTCCTGTTTTAGGTGGAAGAAACTTGTTCATGTTAATAATAGTCCCATCTGAATAAGATTGGTCACTAGGGAAAAGTATTTTATCTTTATTTTGCAGAGCTACTTCTGTTGTCTGTGATACATTTTGCTTCTCAATGACATCTTGAAATTGAACAGTGTTTCTATCAGCAACGTTACCTTTTATAGCCTGTGAACTAACTGTATACGGTGTGCAAACTGCTGAATTATTTGGAGATGGTTTTTGTGGTCTAGCTGAGTCCAATGAAGTCTGAAACTGTTGAAATTCATCCTTGCTCAATTCACAACAATCCTTACCAGCTCTGGACAGGATTTTGGCTACTTTTGGATGGCTGTGGAAAAGTTTGGACACTTTAATTGGGCTAGATGTACTGCTGCCTTGATCTTTTCTAGTTTTTATTTCAAAAGCCATTTCTTCTTTATTCCACTTTCCCTCAATGCTTTCAGTAGATTTAAAATTGTCTGCTTTCTGGTTGGTAATCCCACTGGGTATGTCAGAGCTGCTCATAGTTGACACAGCAGCACAGGCCATTTCCATTACAACTTCTCTTTCAACATCTGCCAATATTATACTACCTCTGTGAAACCAAAGAAAGCAATATAGTTAGTGCATTATTT